GGCGCGCCAGGCCGCCCCAGCTGCCCTTCTCCCCGCAGGTCTACACCGCCGTCTACTACGTGCTGGCCGACCTGCTCATGCTGTCGCTCTACTGCTACTACAAAGCCAAGAACCGAAGCGGAGGACGTGAGTTAAGGAGGCCGGTAACCCAGCCCGACCAGGCGCTTCGTCCTCCCAGGGCCGGCAGCCGTCCTCTCCCCCCACCCCAGGCTGCGCTAACGGCCCTTGCGCGGTCGGGTTGGGCAGTTAGAAAGGGGGAAACCCTTTCCCCTTGTCCGCACAGTGGTGAGAGTGAAGCTGCTTTTTCGAGATGGTGGCTTTGGGCGTGCTGCGAACAGGAATCCCTGGGGACCCTGCAACTCCTTTGACTTATTAGACCGATCAGAACTCGTTAAACCGATTGCCAGGAAGCCCCCCAGCTAGAGTCGTGTTAGTGCTGGAGAGTTTATTTGAAGAATCTAACCCAAACGGAGCCCTTCTCACTGCTCTCCCTCCTCCGGGCAGGTGGCCCATCTGAAGCCAGTACAGGCAGGACTAGTCGTGGGAGGAAGAGTCTTAAAATCTTCAGAGGCCTGTAAATCCGGTCGGACAACACCCGGCTGAAATAAGAGAGCTAGAGAGGAAAAACTATGTCAACAGACAAGTTTTGCAGTCAGAGGAGAGCGTGGCGGGGAGTTGAACTCACACCGCTGTGACTTAAGGCAGCAGAAAGCCTTGAGACGGGCGGCTGATATTCAAAAGAACCCTAAAACCTCAAACTTTGTCTGCTCAGATAGGAACAGCTTCCTCCCAGATAAGTTGCAAATAGCCCTTATCGCTGCGAGATGAAGACCCAGGCGAGTTATTGCCCGAGTTGGTTGGTAGGCCACAAAGATAAGAGGGATGTTTAACTTCTTTTCTCAGCAGGATCTGTCTCTGGGAGGGCTGAGCCAGCCGTGCTCTGGGCTGACAAACGAGTCCTCCCTAACGAGCTCTGCTTGCTCCTCCGCAGTCCGTGCTCCCCTCAACACAGCCTTCGTCTTTGTTCTCCTGGGGACGGTGTCCACCATGTCCCTCCTGGGCGGAGAGGCCGGCTCAGCACAGTGGCCAGCCACGTTCAAAGGGAGGGCGCTCCTGTCTGCCGGCGGGGAGGAGGCGGGGGATACGGTGAGCTGCTTCCGAAATCTGGGCAGCAAAGAGGGCAGGGAGGAGACGAACTGCTCATTGGGGTGGGAACATTAAGCAGCAACAACAATAAGCAGCGGGGAATCATAACCGCTGCTGGTTTTGGGCACGCAGTTGGCCCTGCGCTGCTTGGCAGCTCCGGTAAGTGAGCGTATCCCCGAAAACGCTCGCCTGGCTCACGGCCTGCCTTGCCTTGCAGCCGTTCACCAGGAAGGAAATCATCGGCTTCACCATCGGCTCCATCTCCTCCGTGCTCTACCTGTGCTCCCGGCTCCCCCAGATTTATACTAATGTGAGTGCCAGGCTGGGGAGGGCGGCAGCCTCTGCCCTGCCAGCTGGAGGTGGCAAATTAAAGAGGGGCGGCAGGGTGTTTGCTTGTGATCCTGATTGATGCAATTATTTCCTGGGTGGGGGCTTTTTCCCCCTTTTACTTACAAGCAAAAGGGGGAACTGAAAGGCACTTGCGTCAGTGCTTATTTATTCTTTTTATTCTTCTTTCAGTACAAGAGGAAGTCGACTGTTGGGGTCTCCTTCTCGCTCTTTGCTCTGGTGATGCTGGGGAACACGCTGTACGGCGTGAGCGTGCTCCTGAAGAACCCGGAGCCGGGGCAAAGCGAGAGCAACTACATCCTCCACCATCTTCCCTGGCTCATTGGCAGCCTGGGCGTCCTCTCCCTCGACGCGATTGTATCCTTCCTCCCTCGCCTGGTGGCGACTCATCCGTAGCGTTGCGACAGCCTAATGCTTCGGATGCTTAGTTGCATGAGGCTCTGTCCCCTTTCTGCGTCAAAGCCTCTTGGCCGGCACGAGCAGCCGTTCCGGGGTGCTGAAGCCCCAGATTGGCAACGCTCGTTTGCGTGTGGAGCCTTAACGCCTTCCCAGATCTCTCTCCAGTTCCTCGCTTACCGGAGGGGAAAGCCCGGCTCTCCCGAGGAGAGAGACGCCCTCCTCGGCGAGCAGGACAAGCCCTTCGACAGCTGACAGAGGCGACTCGCCCTGGTGCGAGGACAACAAGAAGACGCGGGCGAGAAAACAGACCTTAGAGCCAGGCAAACCGGATGCTGGGTCCTGCCATCGTCGTCTTTGGGTGCCAAGGTGTCCTGCCTGGGTGACCTCACACCTTGTCGACACCGATGACGCTAACAGGCTAAATGAAGAAGAAACAGGGCTGCTCTGGCTTTCTGTACCGTGTCTCGAAGGTGATCCTGAGCTTCCCCTGTTCCTGGCCAAAGCAAAAAGAGCCTCAGGAGCTGTGTGGAAGTGCTGGAGCTCAGGCACGAGCGCCGCTTCCCTCCTGCCTGTCGCTCGCTGCTGCTCCCTGAGGTCTTTCTGGAAGAGCCGGCAGGGAGGGATACCGAAAGCGTTCTAATCCCCACGTTCATGTTTTAATGGCCGTGGCTCACACCTCTATAAAAACGAATCCTTGCCCCTGCCCTGTGCCTCCTTTTGCTTTTGTTTTCAAGGTTCATCCGGCGCTTGCTGCTTCTCTGTTAGCTTCGTATTCTCCCTTTTCTGAAATGCATGGACTTTGGATTTTTTTTTTTTTTTTTGGTTGGCTTCCTTTGGTCTCACTGAGTTTTTAACTGGGGCTGCTGTGGGAAAGCTGGTGCCTTTCTTTCCACTTAGCTGCTAGCGCTGTGACCAAGGCAGCAGCGGGGGCAGGAGGGCCTGTTTCTGTCCATGCCCTGCTTTGCTCCCGCCTGCCCTTACGGGAGACCAGCAGCTCCTCAGTGCTGTGCAAACCGTGGTACGGGTGCAGGAAGGTGCTTTAAGCCTTTTTGTATTACCACTGCTTCACTCGGCAACACTGCCAAAAGCCTGGGGGCCTCCCTGGGGGCTGCAGGGTGTGCACGTGTGCTGTCTCCTCTCCTCCACTGTGTTTCTGTTAGAGCTGCATCAGACTGGCCCGCGGGGGGGATGCTTCAGCATGGGACTGTAATCAGGTTAAGCAAAATTAGTGTAAAGTTAGGGTGTGTTAATGCCACCAAGGTGCACTTGGCATTTGCAAGTCACAGGGGGAAGCCCTGAGGGGCCCTTTGCTAGTGTCGAGCAGCTGTGCTTAAATCAGCTGAGCGCCCCAAAAAGCCTCTGCCTGCCCCAGCTGTGTTTCAACACACCCACTTTCCCCCTAACTATATAATAAAGCCCAACACTGCTGCTGCCTCCTCCTCCCACACATCTGTTTCAGGTTTGCTGGCTGCCTGCAGCATTGGTCCCAGCCTACATGAAACCTTGTTTAAAACAAGTTTCAGCCTGGTGTTGAGAGGGGGAGGAAAAAAAAAGCTTTCTTGCTTGCTGCAGGCGAACGCTACAGAGGCAGTCGGGATTTCGGGGCTCGGTGTTTGCCTGTGTCCTCGAGCGCATCTACTGCCAGAGCGACGCTGCCGGGAAGGGAAACTTTTAGGCCACAAGCCCCAAGTAACGCAACTGGAAGGAAAAGGAGAAATAAGAAGGACACCAAACACATGCTGCTTCCTGGGAGATTTTTTTTATTTATTTATTTTTTTAGTCATTTTTCTTTTTTTTTCTTTTTTTTTTTTTTTTTAGTATTTTAGTAAGGAGGCCCAAGTATCAGATTTAAATTCAAATTAAGCTTTTAAAAAAAAAAAAAAACCAAAAAACAAAACCGGCGCCGGGCGAGTCGGGAGAGCGCAGCCCCGAGGAACGCGCTCTCGGCCCTCCCGGCCGCCCCCCAAACACACGGGGAATAGATTTTCTTTTTTCTTTTTTTTTTTCCAGTTCTTCCTCTTTCACACACCACAGTATTTAATAAAGTTTTTTTTGTTTTACATTTTTTACACCAATGTAACAAAAGGAAAAGACAGACAATGATCCGTGTTGATGCGCCTCAATGGGAGGAGGGTGGGGAGGGGAAAAAAATAAAAATAATACATGGACTTCTACAGAAACATAGCCTAAGGGCTCGCTAGTAAAACGTGGTGCAAAGTAGGCCTCAGAGACTGAAAAAGTTTGTACAGCTTTATTCATGGGGAGGAGATGGCGGTGCGGTGCGTGGCTAGTACTGAATGCGAGGTGTGATGTGGCGTAACAGAAAAAAGGGGCGGGGGGGAACGAGGTCGCTAAGAAAGGAATCTAATGAGTGCATGGCGTGTCTCGTTAGCACGAAGAGTATTTTAACTTTGCTGCTTTCTCTTCAAAGCCTCCACCAGGTCATTTTTAAGAGCTTCTTGTTTTGATTTGTCTGCAAAAGTCTGCACAGACCTGTTGGGGGAGAAAGGAAACACAAATGAGAAGCGCGGCACCTGCAAGACGGCCCTTCGAGCAGCTCCTCTGGCCCCGGCGGGTCGGGGGCGCTCGGAGAAGCCCCTCAGCTCGGGCGTAGAGGGACCAAAAGGCAGCTTGCCTGCTTTACGTAGGGAAGACAGAGAGCAAAGTGAACACGTCAGTGAGTCGACGGAAGCAAAAGTCACGCTAGCAAGGATCGCGCCAAAAGGCACCGCTTGCCGGGAAGGTGCACTCCGCCTCCCGCTGCTGGAAGGAGATTCCCAACTTCCATGTTACAAGGGGGGGGGGGGTCCAGCTGCGCTACCAGGAAAGGGGGTAAGCGCTCCGCACCACTGCGAGGCGAAGGC